TGACTAGCAGATGATTCGTGTGTGGGTTAGCGGATGACTAGCGGATGACTAATGGATGATTAGTGTGGGTTAGCGGACGACTAATGGATGACTAGTGTGTGGTTAGCGGATGACTAGCGGATGATTCGTGTGTAGTTAGCGGATGACTAGCGGGTGACTAGCGGATGATTAGTGTGTGGGTTAGCGGATGACTAGTGGATGACTAGTGGATGACTAGTGTGTGGAGTAGTGGGTGACTAGTGGGTGACTAGCGAGTGACTAGCGGATGACTAGTGGGTGGAGTAGTGGATGACTAGTGGGTGGAGTAGTGGGTGACTAGTGGATGACTAGTGGGTGGAGTAGTGGACTGACGATTCAGTGGGCTCAGCGGAGAGACTGAAGAGGCCGTTGCGATGATACGGGGGGGGGGGGAAGACGCGAGAAGAGGGGGAGGTGGTGGGGGGGTGGTGCGGGGGAGGTGGTGGGGTGGGTGGGGGGGTGGAGTTGGTGGGGGGGGGTGGGGGGGGTGGAGGGGGTGGGGAGGGAGGGGGAATGCGACCGTGGGTCACCCTTTGCCGGTATGAAGACGAACCCATACCCCTCACAACCCATAGCCCTCACAACCCACCATACCCCTCACAACCCACCATACCCCTCACAACCCACCATACCCCTCACAACCCACCATACCCCTCACAACCCACCATACCCCTCACAACCCACCATACCCCTCACAACCCATAGCCCTCACAACCCATACCCCTCACAACCCACCATAGCCCTCACAACCCACCATAACCCTCACAACCCACCATACCCCTCACAACCCATACCCCTCACAACCCACCATACCCCTCACAACCCACCATACCCCTCACAACCCACCATACCCCTCACAACCCACCATACCCCTCACAACCCACCATACCCCTCACAACCCACCATACCCCTCACAACCCACCATACCCCTCACAACCCACCATACCCCTCACAACCCACCATACCCCTCACAACCCACCATACCCCTCACAACCCACCATACCCCTCACAACCCATACCCCCTCACAACCCATACTCCTCACAACCCATACCCCCTCACAACCCATACCCCCTCACAACCCATACCCCTCACAACCCACCATACCCCTCACAACCCATACCCCTCACAACCCACCATACCCCTCACAACCCATACCCCTCACAACCCATACCCCCCTCACAACCCAAAAAAAAAACAGAACGACACCGTTGCAAAAATAAACCCTTCACCATCACCGAATATAAGTAACGCATTGTTTATATATATAATGTGTGTGTGGGGAGGAGTTAGGGGAGTACGGCGGAAGCATTCCTCCTTACCACCGTGTGTATTATTCTAAGGGAGGGATGTATCTCTATATATTTATTCCATGCGTAAACAATCACTAGCCCTTGTCTCTCGCTCTCTCTCTGTCTCTGTGTGTGTGTGTGTGGAGGATTCAGCGTTTGTCCACCGCGCGATTTGGTGGCGGGCGAGGGCGGGCAAAAGCTGCGGCGAATCCTTTCAAACGCGTCAAAACAAAAGTCTCCCCGGGGCCCGACGTTTCGCGGACGTCCCGCGGAACGTTCGTCATTCACGACGGGCGATGGGGGTGTGTGTGTGTGTGTGCAAAAAGGGCGAGGAAGGGGAGAGGGGAGGGCTCTTATTTTGACAGAGCGTGCAACTGTACACATTCGATCACCGTATTATAATAATAATATATATCATGAATATAGGATTTTTTTTTTGTTTCAATATATATACGTTTGTTTCCACACACCCCCCTCCCCCCTCAATCAAACTAATTTTTTTGTCCGTTTGTTAAATATAGAGTTTTATATATAAAAAAGAGAGAGCAATTCCACTCCCCTCACCACCGCTTATTCCTTTTTTTTTCTTTTCCCCCTCTTTCGCGAGAAATTTTCTCACCCGGTCGGTCGCGGTGAGGAGGGAGACGGTGGTGGTGGTGGTGGTCGGGATGGGTACGGCAACGCGTAGGGCACTCCGCGAGCCAACGAGTCTCGTGCGCACCTCGCACGGCTCAAGCGCCCACGTGTTCACACACACACACCAATAAACGCCACCACCGTCACCACAACCACAACCACCACGACCACCGTCACCACCACCGTCATCGTCACCACCACCGTCATCGTCACAACCACCACCACAACCGTCACCACCACCGTCACCACCACCACCACCACCGTCACCACCACCACCGTCACCACAACCACCGTCACCGTCACCACCACCACCACGGACCGTGGCGAGCGCTGCTGTCGGGTGACCCCCAACCCAGCAAAGTTCACGCAGAGCACGGAACGAGTCGGGCGATCCTCTCCCTCGCGACTTCCACCTCCTCCTCCTCTTCATCATCATCTTCATCATCATCATCTTCATCATCATCATTTCCATCTCTTCCCCATTGACAGCGGCAGTAGCAGCGGCTTCGGTGCAGCCACCGAAGCCGGAGGGAGTGAGGCAGGCGGGGGTGGCTCCAGGTGCGGCGGTGCGGAGTGAACATCGACACCGGGAAGACAAAGGCGGCCGGGCGCGGTGCTGGCCACCCAACCCCTCGCGTGACCACAGCGGTGGGCTTCGTAGGCGCTGCTCGCTAACGGCACTTGCCCCTGCAGTCTGTTACGGGCTACACGGGGGATCTTTGTCTTTGCTGTGGGTGGGCTGGACCCCCGAGCGTGAACAACAACAACAATTTGTTGTGGCCATCCTAACCTCGCCTCCCTCCCTACACTCCCTCTCCCTCCACTCCCTCCCTCCACTCCCTCCACTCCCTCTCCCTCCACTCCCTCCCTCCACTACCTCCCTCCACTACCTCCCTCCACTACCTCCACTCCCTTCAATCCCATTCCTCCACTCCCCCTCATCCCCCACCACTCCCTCCCTCCACTACCTCCACTCCCTTCCAATCCCACCCCTCCCTCCACTCCCTCCCTCCACTACCTCCACTCCCTTCCAATCCCACCCCTCCCTCCACTCCCTCTCCCTCCACTCCCTCCCTCCACTACCTCCACTCCCTTCCAATCCCACCCCTCCCTCCACTCCCTCCGCGTTGCAGCGTGGAGCGGCGGGAGGTAGTCGCGTGCCACCTTTCCCGTTTGGAGACGCCCACGAGTGAGCGCCTCCGTGAGAGAGAGAGGCCTAAGTAGCAGCAGTACGTCATCGCAACAGACACGTACGTCATCGCAACAGACACGTACGTACGTCATCGCAACAGACACGTACGCACGTCATCGCAACAGACACGTACGCACGTCATCGCAACAGACACGTACGCACGTCATCGCAACAGACAGTACGTGCGTCATCGCAACAGATACGTACGTCATCGCAACAGACACGTGCGTACGTCATTGCAACAGACACGTACGTCATTGCAACAGACACGTACGTACGTCATCGCAACAGACACGTACGTCATCGCAACAGACACGTACGCACGTCATCGCAACAGACACGTACGCACGTCATCGCAACAGACACGTACGCACGTCATCGCAACAGACAGTACGTGCGTCATCGCAACAGATACGTACGTCATCGCAACAGACACGTGCGTACGTCATTGCAACAGACACGTACGTCATTGCAACAGACACGTACGTACGTCATCGCAACAGACACGTACGCACGTCATCGCAACAGACACGTACGCACGTCATCGCAACAGACAGTACGTGCGTCATCGCAACAGATACGTACGTCATCGCAACAGACACGTGCGTACGTCATTGCAACAGACACGTACGTCATTGCAACAGACACGTACGTCATTGCAACAGACACGTACGTCATTGCATCAGACACGTACGTCATTGCAACAGACACGTACGTCATTGCAACAGACACGTACGTCATTGCAACAGACACGTACGTCATCGCAACAGACACGTACGTCATTGCAACAGACACGTACGTCATTGCAACAGACACGTACGTCATTGCAACAGATGCGTACGTCATCGCAACAGACACGTACGTACGTCATCGCAACAGACACGTACGTACGTCATCGGAACCGAAATGAACAACTGATGATGTGCTACACGTACGTACGTCGTACGGAACGGGAAAGGGTTACGGTGACAATAAACGGCCCTCGGCGTTTACGTTCGCCGGGGAAATCTTTTTTTCGATAGAGGGAAAGAAAAATATATATGTAGAATTTTTTTCCGTGTTTTTTTTAGTTTTTAGTTTTCCCGAGAAGGCCCGCTGAGAAATCGCGACCTGGTGCCCATCCCCGCAACGTCGCCCCGCACAGCGTCACCCCGCACAGCGTCGCCCCTCTCCCAGTGCCCATCCCCGCAACGTCGTCCCGCACAGCGTCACCCCGCACCAACGTCACCCCGCACAGCGTCGCCCCTCTCCCAGTGCCCATCCCCGCAACGTCGCCCCGCACAGCGTCACCCCGCACCAACGTCACCCCGCACAGCGTCGCCCCTCTCCCAGTGCCCATCCCCGCAACGTCGTCCCGCACAGCGTCACCCCGCACAGCGTCACCCCGCACAGCGTCACCCCGCACCAACGTCACCCCGCACAGCGTCGCCCCTCTCCCGGTGCCCATCCCCGCAACGTCACCCCGCACAGCGTCGCCCCTCACGGCGTCGCGACCCCAGCGTCCTTTCCGCGGCGTCGCCCCCCCCGCGGCGTCGTTCGAACCCCGGGCCACCGGCCGTCTTGCCACCGCCGTGACGACCACCGCCACCGCCGCCATCCACCGCCGCCGCTCGCTCAGCTCCTGCGCCCGGGGCCGCTGCCGCTCGGCGTCTCGCGGCGAAGCCCCGCGGGGGCGTGCGTGCCGCGTCCACATTCGCCGCCCGTCGTTTTCATCTCGGGAAGCAGCGGCGGCTGTGGCAGCATTTACGGAGGTCTCGGCTTGGGTCTCCGTCGCTCGCCGAGAGTCGCTCGGGGGTACGGGCGGTGGCGGCGATGGCTGTGGCTGTGGTGGCGGTGGTTGTGGTGGTGATAATGATGGCCGTGACGGTGGTGGCGGTTGTGGTGGTGGTGGTGGTGACGGCTGAAGTGGTGGCGATGATGGCTGTGGTGGTGGTGGTGGTGAGAGTGGAGGCCGGAGTGAGAGAGGCACCGGTTGCCCGTGTCCTCTCCATCTTGCCGCTCTCTCTCTCTCCTCTCTCCTCTGCCTCTCTCACAGCTTCTCGCGTGAGGCCACCCACACGAAGGGTCCTGAGGAGTCGTCGATGACCGTCTTCACCTGCCTGTAGAGCTCGTCCAGCGTGTCGCCCTGCACCACGGCTGAGGGCGACCAGAACATCGACTTAAGCCGTGCAGGAGCAATCGGTTGTGAGCCATGAGTAGAGACGCGCACACGCACGCCCACACACACGCACGCACACGCCCACACACACGCCCACACACACGCACGCACGCCCACACACGCACGCCCACGCACGCACGCGCACGCACGCACACGTGCACACACACACACACACAGGATTCACTGGTGACCACATGACCAGGTGAGAGGCACCGGGTACCCCCGTTGGCAAGAGCGAGCGAGAGGATGAGTGAATGAGATGGTGGGTGGGTGAGTGAGATGGGTGAGGAAATGAATGAGATGGTGAGCGGGTGAGTGAGTTGGTGGGTAGTTGAATGAGATGGTGAGTGGGTGAGTGGGATGGGTGAGTGAGTGAGTGAATGAGATGGTGAGTGTGTTAGTGAGTTGGTGGGTAGTTGAATGAGATGGTGAGTGGGTGAGTGAGATGGTGAGTGAGATGGTGAGTGAGTGGGTGGGTAGTTGAATGAGATGGTGAGTGGGTGGGAAGTTGAATGAGATGGTGAGTGGGTGAGTGAGATGGTGAGTGAGTGGGTGGGTAGTTGAATGAGATGGTGAGTGGGTGGGTAGTTGAATGAGATGGTGAGTGGGTGAGTGAGATGGTGAGTGGGTGGGTAGTTGAATGAGATGGTGAGTGGGTGAGTGAGATAGTGAGTGAGTGGGTGGGTCGCTGAATGAGATGGTGAGTGGGTGAGTGAGATGGTGAGTGAGTGGGTGGGTCGCTGAATGAGATGGTGAGTGGGTGAGTGAGATGGTGAGTGAGTGGGTGGGTCGCTGAATGAGATGGTGAGTGGGTGAGTGAGATGGTGAGTGAGATGACGAGTGAGTGAGTGAGTGGGTGGGCAGTTGAACGAGATGGTGAGCGAGCGGTGAGCGGGGGCGGTGAGCGTTAGCCGAGCCCTCACCAGAGAAGAATTCTCCAAACTCCTGCTCCAGTTTCAGAGCTCTCTCCATGGCCTTGCGTGCCTGCTCCTCACTCAGACGCTTGTTCATCTCTCTGCGGGCACAGGGGTGGGTGGGAGCAGGAGGGATGGGAGGAGGGGGATAGCAGGAGAGGGAGGAGAGGGAGGGAGAGAGTGGAGTAGAGGGATGGGTTGGAGCGATGAGGTAGGAAGGAAGGAGGGGAGGGGATGGGAGGGAGAGATGAGAGGGATGGGGAGGAAGTTAATGGTTACAGACCGGAGGGAACACGAGCCGTCAGAAGGGAACGCATAGCTGCGCGCTTATGTGTGCGTGTGTGTGTGTGTGCGTGTGTGCGTGTGTGTGTGCATGTGTGTGCGCGTGTGTGCGCATGTGTGTGCGCGTGTGCGCGCGTGTGCGCGCGTGTGCGCGCGTGTGCGCGTGTGTGCGCGTGTGTGCACGTGTGTGTGCGCGTGTGTGCGTGTGCGCGTGTGTGCGCGTGTGTGTGCGTGCGTGCGTGTGTGTGTGTGCGTGTGTGTGTGCGTGCGTGCGTGTGTGTGTGTATGTGTGTGTGTGCGTGCGTGCGATGAACTTCTTTCGCACCGTGCGTAGCCGAGCGTGCCAATGGGAGGTGTGGATTTGCGGACGGGAGAAGGCTTCTCCCCGGAGGGTTCATTTTTTTCCCCGTTCGTCAAAAACGGAAAGACCAAAATGAGGGCGGCGGCAATGCCTCTTCGCGAATGGCGAATGGGAAGACACAGAGAGCCGTGCAACAAACCCAGTGGTGTGCAGCGGCGGAGTGAGCCTGGCAGGGCGTGCGTGGCGTGTGTGGCGGCTAGCGCTACGCTGCGCTACGAACCCGGCGACCCGGCCAACAACCACCGCTGACGATTATCTAAAACGGCCCTGGGCCTCCCCCTAGGTCGACTCAGCCTCAAATGAGTTACCTGCTGCTGTGTGGTGTGTCGTAAACGTCGCCACTGGGGGAGAGACAAAGGCGGCCGGGCGTGGCGTGGTGCCGGTAGCCACCCAGCCCCCTCGTGTGCCACAGTGCCGGTAGCCTTCACAGCTGCTGCTCGCTAACAGCACTTGCCCCTACAGCCTGTTAGAGGCTACACGGGGGATCTTTGTCTGTGTCTACCTTCACAGGTGCTGCTGCTACTCGCTACTAACAGCACTTGCCCCTACAGCCTGTTAGAGGCTACACGGGGGATCTTTGTTTGTATCTACCTTCACAGGTGCTGCTGCTACTCGCTACTCACAGCACTTGCCCCTACAGTCTGTTAGAGGCTACACGGGGGACCTTTGTCTGTCTACCTTCACAGGTGCTGCTGCTACTCGCTACTAACAGCACTTGCCCTGCAGTGTGTTAGAGGCTACACGGGGGACCTTTGCCTGTGTCTACCTTCACAGGCGCTGCTGCTACTCGCTACTAACAGCACTTGCCCCTGCAGCCTGTTAAGAGGCTACACGGGGGACCTTTGTCTGTGTCTACCTTCACAGGTGCTTCTGCTACTCGCTACTCACAGCACTTGCCCCTACAGTCTGTTAGAGGCTACACGGGGGACCTTTGTCTGTCTACCTTCACAGGTGCTGCTGCTACTCGCTACTAACAGCACTTGCCCCTGCAGCCTGTTAGAGGCTACACGGGGGATCTTTGTCTGTGTCGTGCGTGCTCACTCACAGGATGTTCTCCATGCTCTTCGGCTTGATGAAGATGGCGACCGGGTAGAGCTGTGCTATCTGCAGCCGCTTGATGGCGTTCCCCGACACGTCCAGGATGCAGTGCTTGCCCTGCACACCGCCGTGACGAGATGTCGACTACCTCGCCTGGTACGCAGGAGGTCGCGGGTTACATCCCCGACCCTTGCCGGAGGCTGTTGCTGCTGTTGCATTTGTGGAGTCTGCGTCTCTCTCTCATCATCATCACGGTGGCTATGAGATGTTGACTACCTCGCCTAATACGCAGGAGGTCGCGGGTTCTACCCCGACCCTGACGATGCCTGCTGCTGTATTTGTGGAGTCTGCGTCTCTCTTATAATCATCATCATCATCACCACGGTGGCTATGAGATGTTGACTACCTCGCCTGGTACGCAGGAGGTCGCGGGTTCCATCCCGACCCTGACGATGCCTGCCGCTGTATAGTTGGAGTCTGCGGCTGTCTCTCACCATCACGGTGGCTAGGAGATGTTAACTACCTCGTCTAATACGCAGGAGGTCGTGGGTTCTACCCCGTCCCTGACGATGCCTGCTGCTGCTGCTGTATATGTGGAGTCTGCGTCTCTCTCATCATCATCATCATCACGGTGGCTAGGAGATGTTAACTACCTCGCCTGGTATACAGGAGGTCGTGGGTTCTACCCCGACCTTGACGATGCCTGCAGCTGCTGTATATGTGGAGTCTGCGTCTCTCTCTCTCATCATCATCATCATCACGATGGCTAGGAGATGTTAACTACCTCGCCTGGTATACAGGAGGTCGTGGGTTCTACCCCGACCCTGACGATGCCTGCTGCTGCTGCTGTATATGTGGAGTCTGCGTCTCTCTCTCTCATCATCATCATCACGGTGGCTATGAGATGTTGACTACCTCGCCTGGTATACAGGAGGTCGTGGGTTTTACCCCGACCCTGACGATGCCTGCTAGTGCTGCTGTACATTTGCAGTCTGCGTGTCTCTCTCTCTCTCTCGCCCCATGGAGATGTTGTCGACCTTGCCGGGTGCGTCTCCCTCACCCGTGGCCGCGTGGATTTCTCTCCGTGTCCTCCACGGTTTTACACTCCGCATTTAGAACCAACGTCGAGCGTTCAGACCGCACGCGGCTACCGCCCGCGATCACGGTAGGCCGCCTCCTGGCTGCGCCCGCTATCATTCGTGATCGCCACGGCCGCTTCTGAGAGAGAGCCTCACAGCAGCTGAGTGGTGGCGGGCCTTCACCTGGTGATAGCTGCGGACGCTCAGCACGCTGCTGCAGTACAGGCGGCCGCTGCTGTACTGCACCACCACCACCCACCCCCCCCACCCCGCCTCGCCTCGATTAACTTGCGGTGATGGTGATGGCGGTGGTGGTGTTTGGTTGTGGTGGTGTTTGGTTGCGGTGGTGACAATGGTGGTTGTGGTGGTGAGTGAGGTGGTGGTGACGATGGCTGTGGTGGTGGTGGTGGCTGTGGTGGTAGTGGTGACGATGGCTGTGGTGGTGGTGATGATGGCTGTGGTGGTGGTGATGGTGACGATGGCTGTGGTGGTGGTAATGGTGATGATGTTGACGATGGCTGTGGTGGTGGTGTTGACGATGGCTGTGGTGGTGGTGGTTGTGGTGGTGGTGATGACAATGGCTGTGGTGGAGACGATGGTGGTGACGATGGCTGTGGTGACGGTGGTGGTGGTGGTGACGATAGCTGCTGTGGTGGTGGTGGTGGTGACGATGGCTGTGGTGGTGGTGATGATGGCTGTGGTGGTATTGACGATGGCTGTGGTGGTGATGGTGATGATGGCTGTGGTGGTGGTGACGATGGTGGTGGTGTTGACGATGGCTGTGGTGGTGGTGGTGTTGACAATGGCTGCTGTGGCGGTGTTGACGATGGCTGTGGTGGTGGTGTTGACGATGGCTGTGGTGGTGGTGGCTGTGGTGGTGGTGGTGACGATGGCTGTGGTGGTGGTGACGATGGCTGTGGTGGTGGTGATGATGGCTGTGGTGGTGTTGACGATGGCTGTGGTGGTGTTGACGATAGCTGCTGCGGTGGTGTTGACGATGGCTGCGGTGGTGGTGGCGGCGACGGTGTTGGCTCTAGCAAAACGTGCGGGGGCACCTTCTCTGCGACGTTGCGCACGCTCTGCACGCTGGTGCCGTACAGGTGGCCATTGTACTGCCCCGCCTCGATGAACTTGTGCTCCTGGATGTCCCGCTCCATCTGCTCGCGCGTCGCCACGAAGTGGTAGTCGCGTGTGTCCACCTCGTAGTCCCGCTTGGGGCGCGTCGTGTCTAGGCGGCGCGGACGGAGAGAGAGACGGGGAGAGAGAGAGAGAGAGACGGACAGTGAGAGAGAGGACGGGGAGAGTGAGACACGGGGAGACGGGGAGAGAGAGACAGACACGGGTGGAGAGAGACACGGGGAGACGGGGAGAGAGAGAGACACGGGTCGAGAGAGACACGGGGAGACAGGGAGAGAGAGACACGGGGAGACGGGGAGAGAGAGACACGGGGAGACGGGGAGAGAGAGACACGGGTGGAGAGAGACACGGGGAGAGTGAGACACGGGGAGACGAGGAGAGAGAGACACGGGGAGACGGGGAGAGAGAGAGAGACACGGGTGGAGAGAGACACGGGGAGACGGGGAGAGAGAGAGACACGGGTGGAGAGAGACACGGGGAGACGGGGAGAGAGAGACACGGGGAGACGGGGAGAGAGAGACACGGGGAGACGGGGAGAGAGAGACACGGGGAGACGGGGAGAGAGAGACACGGGTGGAGAGAGACACGGGGAGAGTGAGACACGGGGAGACGGGGAGAGAGAGACACGGGTGGAGAGAGACAAGAGGAGACGGGGAGAGAGAGACACGGGGAGAGAGAGACACGGGGAGACGGGGAGAGAGAGAGACACGGGTGGAGAGAGACACGGGGAGACGGGGAGAGAGAGACACGGGGAGACGGGGAGAGAGACACGGGTGGAGAGAGACACGGGGAGACGGGGAGAGAGAGAGACACGGGTGGCGAGAGACAAGGGGAGACGGGGAGAGAGAGAGACACGGGTGGAGAGAGACACGGGGAGACGGGGAGAGAGAGACACGGGTGGAGAGAGACACGGGGAGACGGGGAGAGAGAGACACGGGTGGAGAGAGACACGGGGAGACGGGGAGAGAGAGAGACACGGGTGGAGAGAGACACGGGGAGACGGGGAGAGACACGGGTGGAGAGAGACACGGGGAGACGGGGAGAGAGAGACACGGGTAGAGAGAGACACGGGGAGACGGGGAGAGAGAGACACGGGTGGAGAGAGACACACGGAGACACGGGGAGAGAGACACAGGTGGAGAGAGACACGGGGAGACGGGGAGAGAGAGACACGGGTGGAGAGAGACACGGGGAGACAGGGAGAGAGAGACACAGGGAGACGGGGAGAGTGAGACACGGGGAGACGGAGAGAGAGAGAGACACGGAGAGAGAGACACGGGGAGAGAGACATGGGGAGAAAGACACGGGGAGAGAGAGACACAGGTGGAGAGAGACACGGGGAGCCGGGGAGAGACGGGGCGAGAGACACGGGGAGAGAGACACGGGGAGAGAGACACGGGGAGACACGTGGAGAGAGACAAGGGAGACAGAAGAATGGAGAGAGACACGGGGAGAGACACACGGGGATAGAGACACGGGGAGAGACACAGGGAGACGGGAATGGAGAGAGAGATGGAGACTAACTCACAACCTCACAGCCGTGCCAACTCACAACCTTACAGCCACGCCAACTCACAGTCGCCCTAACTCACAACCTCACAGTCGCCCTAACTCACAACCTCAGCCGTGTCAACTCACAGCCGCCCCAACTCACAACCTCACAGCCACGCCAACTCACAATCACCCTAACTCACAACCTCACAGCCGTGCCAACTCACAGTCGCCCTAACTCACAACCTCACAGCCACGCCAACTCACAGTCGCCCTAACTCACAACCTCACAGTCGCCCTAACTCACAGTCGCTCTAACTCACAACCTCACAGCCAAGCCAACTCACAGTCGCCCTAACTCACAACCTCACAGCCACGCCAACTCACAGTCGCCCTAACTCACAACCTCACAGCCACGCCAACTCACAGTCGCTCTAACTCACAACCTCACAGCCAAGCCAACTCGCAGTCGCCCCAACTCACAACCTCACAGCCACGCCAACTCACAGCCTCACAGCCACGCCAACTCACAGCCTCACAGCCGCCCTAACTCACAGCCTCACAGCTGTGCCAACTCACAATCGCCCCAACTCACAACCTCACAGCCACGCCAACTCACAGCCGTGCCAACTCACAACCTCACAGCCACGCCAACTCACAGTCGCCCTAACTCACAACCTCACAGTCGCCCTAACTCACAACCTCACAGCCACGCCAACTCACAATCGCCCCAACTCACAACCTCACAGCCACGCCAACTCACAGTCACCCTAATTCACAACCTCACAGTCGCCCTAACTCACAACCTCACAGCCGTGCCAACTCACAATCGCCCCAACTCACAACCTCACAGCCACGCCAACTCACAATCACCCCAACTCACAATCCCACAGCCACGCCAACTCACAATCGCCCCAACTCACAATCCCACAGCCACCCCAACTCACAGCCGCGCCAACTCACAACCTCACAGCCACGCCAACTCACAGCCGCCCCAACTCACAACCTCACAGCTACGCCAACTCACAGTCGTGCCAACTCACAACCTCACAGTCGCCCTAACTCACAGTCGCCCTAACTCACAACCTCACAGCCACGCCAACTCACAATCACCCTAACTCACAACCTCACAGCCGTGCCAACTCACAGTCGCCCTAACTCACAAGCTCACAGCCACGCCAACTCACAGTCGCCCTAACTCACAACCTCACAGCCACGCCAACTCACAGTCGCTCTAACTCACAACCTCACAGCCAAGCCAACTCACAGTCGCCCCAACTCACAACCTCACAGCCACGCCAACTCACAGCCTCACAGCCACGCCAACCCACAGCCTCACAGCCGCCCTAACTCACAGCCTCACAGCCGTGCCAACTCACAATCGCCCCAACTCACAACCTCACAGCCACGCCAACTCACAGCCGTGCCAACTCACAACCTCACAGCCACGCCAACTCACAACCTCACAGCCAAGCCAACTCACAGTCGCCCTAACTCACAACCTCACAGCCACGCCAACTCACAGCCGCCCCAACTCACAACCTCACAGCCACGCCAACTCACAGTCGCCCTAACTCACAACCTCACAGCCACCCCAACTCACAACCTCACAGCCGTGCCAACTCACAGTCGCCCTAACTCACAACCTCAAAGCCGTGCCAACTCACAGTCACCCTAACTCACAACCTCACAGCCGTGCCAACTCACAGTCGCCATAACTCACAACCTCACAGCCACGCCAACTCACAGTCACCCTAACTCACAACCTCACAGCCACGCCAACTCACAGTCGTGCCAACTCACAACCTAACAGTCGCCCTAACTCACAGTCGCCCTAACTCACAACCTCACAGCCACGCCAACTCACAGCCGCGCCAACTCACAACCTCACAGCCACGCCAACTCACAGCAGCCCCAACTCACAACCTCACAGCCACGCCAACTCACAGCCGCCCCAACTCACAACCTCACAGCCACGCCAACTCACAGTCGTGCCAACTCACAACCTCACAGCCGGGCGACACTTACGAGGGACGCAGGAGCCGAATTTGTCGGGGAACTCGGAGATGAGGTCGTCATTTATTCGATCTTTCATGGGGCCCAGGATGATGACAGGTCTGGTGTAACGCACTGCACGCACACAAAGAGACAAAGATCCCCCGTATAGCCTTAACAGACTGTAGGGGCAAGTGCTGTTAGCGAGCAGCACCTATGGAGGCCGGCACGGCACATGAGGGGGTGGGTGGCCAGCACCACGCCCGACCGCCTTTGTCTTCCCCAGTGGCGATGTTTACACACCGCACCAGGTACTCATTTGAGGCCGAGTCGACCTAGGGGAGGCCCGGGACCGGTTCAGATAATCGTTACCGGTGTTGGCCGTTAGCGGGAATCGAACTCGGGTCGCCGGGTTCAAAGCGCAGCGTAGTAGCGCTGACCGATACACTACCGCTCCCCACCCACACACACACACACGCACGCACGCACGCACGTACGCACGCACGCACACACACATACATGCACGCACAATTAACGAATGAGGGATGTTTTAAACATAGGTTTGTCTGGGTTTGTGCAGATGTATGTATGTTTGCGTGCGTATGTACGTGTGTGTTTGCATATGTGCGCGTGTAGTATGTACGTGTGTGTGCGTGAGTATGTACGTGTGTGTGCGTGCGTGTGTGAGTATCTATGTGCGTGCGTGTGTGAGTATCTATGTGTGTGCGTGCACATGTGAGTATCTATGTGTGTGCGCGTGTGAGTATCTATGTGTGTGTGCGTTTGAGTATCTATGTGTGTGTGCATGCGTGTGTGCGTATCTATGTGTGTGTGTGTGCGTGTGTGAGTATCTATGTGTGTGCGTGTGTGAGTATCTATGTGTGTGTGTGAGTATCTATGCGTGTGTGTGAGTATCTATGTGTGTGTGCGTGTGAGTATCTATGTGTGTGTGCGTGTGAGTATCTATGTGTGTGTGTGTGTGCGTGTGAGTATCTATGTGTGCGTGCGCGAGTATCTATGTGTGTGTGCGTGCGCGTGTGAGTATCTATGTATGTGTGTCTGCGCGTGAGTATCTATGTGTGTGTGCATGCGTGTGTGAGTATCTATGTGTGTGTGCATGCGTGTGTGAGTATCTATGTGTGTGTGCGTGCGCGTGTGAGTATCTATGTGTGTGTGCGTGCGTGCGTGAGTATCTATGTATGTGTGTGTGCATGCGTGTGTGAGTATCTATGTCTGTGTGCGTGCGCGTGTGAGTATCTATGTATGTGTGTGCGTGCGCGCGTGAGTATCTATGTATGTGTGTGCGTGCGCGCGTGAGTATCTATGTAAGTGTGTGTGCGTGTGAGTATCTATGTATGTGTGCGCATCTATGTATGTGTGCGCGTGTGAGTATCTATATATGTGTGTGCGCGTGAGTATCTATATATGTGTGTGTGCGTGTGAGTATCTATGTGTGTGTGTGCGCGTGAGTATCTACGTGTGTGTGCATGCGTGTGTGAGTATCTATATATGTGTGCGTGCGCGTGTGAGTATCTATGTGTGTGTGCGTGCGCGTGTGAGTATCTATGTATGTATGTGTGCGTGTGAGTATCTATGTATGTGTGTGTGCGTGTGAGTATCTATGTATGTGTGTGTGTGCGCGTGTGAGTATCTGTGTGTGTGTGTGCGTGTGTGAGTATCTATGTGTGTGTGTGTGCGCGTGTCGTAAGGACTCACGCTCGTGCTGAGTGACGGGCTCGTAGGACAGGATGTACTCATCCTGGCTCCCAGCTGGAACAACGCACAAACACACATGTACACGCACACACACACACACACACGCACACACGCACACACGCACACACACACGCACACACGTACACACACACGCACACACGCACACACACGCACACACACACACGCAAACGCACGCACACACGCACACACGCACAAACACGCACGCACGCCAACACATGCACGCACGCCAACACACACACGCACGCCAACACACACACACGCACGCGTGCCAACAGCGAAGGTTAAACGCTCGGCAACCGGGAGGTCAACCAAACACAACTGTCCGTCGTCACGTGACACGCGGTGGCTCTTACAGGAGCGGTAAAACAGCGGGGCAGGGCCGAGCTGCCTCGGGAGACTCCCCCGCCAGGGGACAGGGCAGCGGGAATCGAACCCGGGGGCCGCCGGGTTCGTAGCACTAACCGCTACCGCGCTAACGCACAGACGCAACGAGAACGCGCGCGCACGAGAGACGCGCTGCGTGTGTGGTGGTGGTGGTGGTGGGGGGGAAAAAAATATTGAGGGCGAAAAGTTGTGCCACTTACGCTGGCTAGTCTCACTGTCACTGACATTGGTTGAGGTGACAGACTCTGTGGAATGGGAGGGCCGTGAGAGACGCGCACACGCACGCGCGCACACACACGCACACACACACACGCACACACGCACACACGCGCACGCACACACGGGCATGAATGTGTAAAACAACCACGATGCGCACACAAACGCACGAACGCTCAGGAATTGGTGGCGGTGGTGGTTGTGGTTTTTGTGGTGAATGCGGTGGATACGGCAAGTGGGCTGTGGAGGACGCAGCAGAGGCGGTGGCGGTGAATGTGGCGAATGTGGTGAACACGGTAGTGGCTGTAGAGAACGCAACGGTGGTGGTGGTGGTGAACGTGGTAGTGGCTGTGGTGAATACGACAGTGGTGGTAGTGGTGGTAGTAGTGGTGAATGTGGTGATGGTGGTGAATGTGGTGATGGTGGTGAGTGTGGTGATGGTGGTGAGTGTGATGGTGATGGTGGTGAGTGTGATGGTGGTGAGTGTGGTGATGATGGTGAATGTGGTGATGGTGGTGAATGTGGTGATGGTGGTGAATGTGGTGATGGTGGTGATGGTGAATGTGGTGATGGTGGTGAATGTGGTGATGGTGTTGAATGTGATGATGGCGGTGATGGTGTTGAATGTGATGATGGTGGTGAATGTGGTGATGGTGGTGAATGTAGTGAATGTGATGATGGTGGTGATGGTGGTGATGGTGGTGATGGTGTTGAATGTGGTGAGTGTGATGATGGTGGTGAGTGTGATGATGGTGGTGAGTGTGGTGATGGTGGTGAATGTAGTGAATGTGGTGATGGTGGTGAGTGTGGTGATGGTGATGATGGTGGTGAGTGTGGTGATGGTGTTGAATGTGATGATGGTGGTGAGTGTGGTGATGGTGATGATGGTGTTGAGTGTGGTGATGGTGTTGAATGTAGTGAATGTGGTGATGGTGTTGAATGTGGTGATGGTGTTGAATGTAGTGAATGTGGTGATGGTGTTGAACGTGATGATGGTGGTCATGGTGTTGAATGTGATGATGGTGGTGAATGTGGTGATGGTGATGATGGTGGTGAATGTGGTGATGGTGTTGAATGTGGTGATGGTGATGATGGTGTTGAGTGTGGTGATGGTGTTGAATGTAGTGAATGTGGTGATGGTGTTGAATGTGGTGATGGTGTTGAATGTAGTGAATGTGGTGATGGTGTTGAACGTGATGATGGTGGTCATGGTGTTGAATGTGATGATGGTGGTGAATGTGGTGATGGTGATGATGGTGGTGAGTGTGGTGATGGTGTTGAATGTAGTGAATGTGGTGATGGTGTTGAATGTGGTGATGGTGTTGAATGTAGTGAATGTGGTGATGGTGTTGAACGTGATGATGGTGGTCATGGTGTTGAATGTGATGATGGTGGTGAATGTGGTGATGGTGATAATGGTGGTGAATGTGGTGATGGTGATGATGGTGTTGAATGTGGTGATGGTGATGATGGTGTTGAGTGTGGTGATGGTGTTGAATGTAGTGAATGTGGTGATGGTGTTGAATGTAGTGAATGTGGTGATGGTGTTGAACGTGATGATGGTGGTCATGGTGTTGAATGTGATGATGGTGGTGAATGTGGTGATGGTGATGATGGTGGTGAATGTGGTGATGGTGATGATGGTGTTGAATGTGGTGATGGTGATGATGGTGTTGAGTGTGGTGATGGTGTTGAATGTAGTGAATGTAGTGAATGTGGTGATGGTGTTGAATGTAGTGAATGTGGTGATGGTGTTGAACGTGATGATGGTGGTCATGGTGTTGAATGTGATGATGGTGGTGAATGTGGTGATGGTGATGATGGTGGTGAATGTGGTGATGGTGATGATGGTGGTGAATGTGGTGATGGTGATGATGGTGGTGAATGTGGTGATGGTGATGATGGTGTTGAATGTGGTGATGGTGTTGAATGTAGTGATGGTGTTGAATGTAGTGATGGTGTTGAATGTGATGATGGTGGTGATGGTGTTGAATGTGGTGATGGTGGTGAATGTGGTGATGGTGGTGATGGTGTTGAATGTGGTGAGTGTGATGATGGTGGTAAGTGTGGTGATGGTGGTGAATGTGGTGATGGTGATGATGGTGGTGAGTGTGGTGATGGTGGTGAATGTAGTGATGGTGATGGTGTTGAATGTGGTGATGGTGTTGAATGTATTGATGGTGGTGATGGTGTTGAATGTGGTGATGGTGTTGAATGTAGTGATGGTGATGGTGTTGAATGTAGTGATGGTGTTGAATGTGGTGAATGTGGTGATGGTGTTGAGTGTGGTGATGGTGTTGAATGTAGTGATGGTGATGGTGTTGAATGTAGTGATGGTGTTGAATGTAGTGAGTGTGATGATGGTGTTGAGTGTGGTGATGGTGTTGAATGTAGTGATGGTGATGGTGTTGAATGTAGTGATGGTGTTGAATGTAGTGATGGTGTTGAATGTGGTGAATGTGGTGATGGTGTTGAATGTGGTGATGGTGTTGAATGTGGTGAATGTGGTGATGGTGTTGAGTGTGGTGATGGTGTTGAATGTAGTGAATGTGGTGATGGTGTTGAATGTGGTGATGGTGTTGAATGTGGTGAATGTGGTGATGGTGTTGAGTGTGGTGATGGTGTTGAATGTAGTGAATGTGGTGATGGTGTTGAGTGTGGTGATGGTGTTGAATGTGGTGAATGTGGTGATGGTGTTGAGTGTGGTGATGGTGTTGAATGTGTTGAATGTGGTGATGGTGTTGAACGTGGCCGTGGCCGTGGCGGTGCTGTGACGTCACCGCTCACTCATGCTTTTCGACCGCCCATCTTCCCCGTAGCTCTGCAAGTCCTGGGGGAAGACAGCGAGCACCGCACGTCACACCGCACGTCACACCGCACGTCACACCGCACGTCACACCGCACGTCACACAGCGCGGCAAAGGCGGCGCACCGCAGCATATCCCAGACGACCACGCGCCAGGGCTGAACGATTTGGGGAGAACATCTCATTGGCCATTATTCGGACAGATATTGCGATTGCAATTACATTTTTTATTTTTTTTGTTTTAATGAGAGTCGTGGGAACTCCTCCTTTGCCAGTCCCAAAATACGAGAAGAGGTGTTCCCCCTTTTCACACGCTTTTATTGAACTCACTCTGTCTGTTGTTGTTGTCATTGTTGTATCCTCAAATCTTGTAAGTCGATTGTAACCCACTTCCCAATGTGGTATGACTGCAAACTAGGTATACCAATGTCATACCGATGACAATAACTAGATTCTATTATTACAATTATATATTTTATTGAACTCACTCTGTCTGTTATTGTTATTGTTGTATCCTCAAATCTTGTAACTCGATTGTAACCCACTTCCCAATGTGGTCTCGACTGCAAGCTTGGTATACCAATGTCATACCGATGACGATAACTAGATTCTATTATTACAATTATATATTTTATTGAACTCACTCTGTCTGTTGTTGTTATTGTTGTATCCTCAAATCTTGTAACTCGATTGTAACCCACTTCCCAATGTGGTCTCGACTGCAAGCTTGGTATACCAATGTCATACCGATGACAATAACTAGATTCTATTATTACAATTATATATTTTATTGAACTCACTCTGTCTGTTATTGTTATTGTTGTATCCTCAAATCTTGTAACTCGATTGTAACCCACTTCCCAATGTGGTCTCGACTGCAAGCTTGGTATACCAATGTCATACCGATGACGATAACTAGATTCTATTATTACAATTATATATTTTATTGAACTCACTCTGTCTGTTGTTGTTATTGTTGTATCCTCAAATCTTGTAACTCGATTGTAACCCACTTCCCAATGTGGTCTCGACTGCAAGCTTGGTATACCAATGTCATACCGATGACAATAACTAGATTCTATTATTACAATTATATATTTTATTGAACTCACTGTCTGTTGTTGTTTTATCCTCAAATCTTGTAACTCGATTGTAACCCACTTCCCAATGTGGTATCGACTGCATACTTGGTATACCAATGTCATACCGATGACGATAACTAGATTCTATTATAAAAAATATATATTTTATTGAACTCACTCTGTCTGTTGTTGTTGTATCCTCAAATCTTGTAACTCGATTGTAACCCACTTCCCAATGTGGTATCGACTGCATACTTGGTATACCAATGTCATACCGATGACGATAACTAGATTCTATTATTACAATTATATATTTTATTGAACTCACTCTGTCTGTTGTTGTTGTTATATCCTCAAATCTTGTAACTCGATTGTAACCCACTTCCCAATGTGGTCTCGACTGCATACTTGGTATACCAATGTCATACCGATGACGATAACTAGATTCCAACATAAATAATATATTTTTTTAAACATTATTTTTTATTCGTTACGTTTCGGCTTGGCTCTAACTGTCCACGCTCAACTGACGTTGGCTGTAAATGACCACGGCCCCCTTACGTCGTGGCGAGCTTCATGGCCACTTCCCCGAGTCGTGGAGCTATTCCATTACCAGCACGGTACATTGCATGAAAGCGTGTGTTTAAAAAAAAAAGTTTTTAATATTATACTTATTTCTGACCACAAAACAGTTGGGTGAAGTTGTTACAACACCAAACTGAAACCTTTCACAAGGAATGAAGTCTGTTGCCAGATAAAATAACGGGAAAACCTCTCCTCATTTTTTTTTTTTAAAAGCTAAGCTTCAGCTCAACATTCACTGTGGAGCATTACCACGTGACACCATCAAAGTATGAACCGCTCGCGCTGTACATTCTAAAATGCAAGGACGAGAACTTCAAATATTTGAATCGCTTCCAACGTGTATTCGTTAAAATGTTTTAATTGAAATTGAACAATAAAGCATAGAACAATTGTTCAGCTAAATAAATAAAAATTGTTATAACAACAACAACAACAACAAATGAAACAATTCCAATGAGAAAGCAATGGGACTTTTCAAATCGCAGAAAAAAAAATCGCAGCCCTTTGCGATTTGTTAACGGCGTTGTTCCAAATTGCGATTTCGATTTGAAATCGATTAATCGTTCAGCCCTACCACACACACACCCCGCAAACACGCACCCACACACACCCCGCGATGATGGTGACGATGATGATGGCGGCGATGATGATGATGACGACGGCGATAATCACGGTGACGGCGATGGCAATCGCGGTGGTGGTGATGGCGACGCTGTGGCAATCACCCCTCTCGTGTCCGACTTGGAGTTGAACTTCACCGTCTTAAGCCGCGCTCGCTCCTTCCGCTCCACGCTGCGACACGCGGGGGGGGGGGGAGGGGGCGGCAGACCGCGGGGGGAGGAGACGGGGTTCGAGTGTGCGCTCGTGTGTGCACGTGCGCGTGTACCTGTGTGTGCACGTGTGTGTGTACGTGTATCTGTGTGTGTGTATGTGTGTATCTGTGTGCACGTGTGTGCACGTGTGTGTGCGTGTGAAGTGTGTGTCTATGTGTGTGCACGTGTGTGTGTGTGTGCGTGTGTGTATCTGTGTGTGCACGTGTGTGTGCGCGTGTGTGTGTGTGCGCGTGTGTATCTGTGTGTGCACGTGCGTGTGTGCGTGTGCATGTGAAGTGTGTGCACGTGTGTGTGTGCACGTTTGTGTGCACGTGTGTGTGCGTGTGCGTAGACGGCACAGTAGCGGGCACGGGTGCTGACGTACATCTCAGTCAGCCAACCCACGTGTGTGCGTGTATGGCCGTGAGCGTGCGTGCGCCCGTGCCCGTGCCCGCGCGCTGACCGGCGCTTGCTGGGCACCACCCCGATGCTGTCGCTCTCCCCCTCGGCCGTGACGCGCCGCGCCTGCCACCACTCGTCGTCCGAGGCGTTGAGCACGTGGAGGATGTCGCCGAAGCGGAAGCTCAGGCCCTGGCTGGGCAGGCCGCTGTCTTTGGAGCGGTCGTAGTCAAACAGCGCCCTGGCGTGGCAGGAGACGTCCGCATCACGGTGGCGGTGCAATAACCGAGGCGAACAATGTTGCACGCGCTTGCAGCCTGGTCATGCTTTTTATCGACGGACGTCCCCCGTAGAGGAGCGAGTTGCAATTTAAAGAGACGTTAAAACTACCTCGCCTGGTACGCAGGAGGTCGTGGGTTTGATCCCTGACCCCGATGACGCCTGCTGCTGCTGCTGTATATTTGAAGTCTGCGTGTCTTTCTCTCATCATCATCATCATCACGGTGGCTAGGAGATGTTAACTACCTCGCCTGGTACGCAGGAGGTCGTGGGTTTGATCCCTGACCCTGATGACGCCTGCTGCTGCTGTTGTATATTTGGAGTCTGCGTGTCTTTCTCTCATTATCATCATCATCATCACGGTGGCTAGGAGATGTTGACTACCTCACCTGGTATACAGGAGGTCGTGGGTTAGACCCTGACGCCTGCTGCTGCTGCTGTATATTTGGAGTCTGCGTCTCTCTCTCATCATCATCATCATGGTGGCTAGGAGATGTTAACTACCTCGCCTGGTACGCAGGGGGTCGTGGGTTTGATCCCTGACCCTGATGACGACCTGCTGCTGCTGCTGTATATTTGGAGTCTGCGTGTCTTTCTCTCATTATCATCATCATCATCACGGTGGCTAAGAGATGTTAACTACCTCGCCTGGTATGCAGGAGGTCGTGGGTTTGATCCCTGACCCTGATGACGCCTGCTGCTGCTGCATATTTGAAGTCTGCGTGTCTCTCTCTCTCATCATCACGGTGGCTAGGAGATGTTGACTACCTCGCCTGGTACACAGGAGGTCGTGGGTTCGATCCCGACCCTGACGATGTCTGCTGCTGCATATTTGAAGTCTGCGCGTCTCTCTCTCTCATCATCACGGTGGCTAGGAGATGTTGACTACCTCGCATGGTCTACAGGAGGTCGTGGGTTCGATCCCGACCCTGACGATGCCTGCTGTTACTGTATGTTTGGAGTCTGCGTCTCTCTCATCATCATCACGGTGGCTAGGAGATGTTAACTACCTCGCCTGGTACGCAGGAGGTCGTGGGTTCGCGCCTAAGGCAGGGGAGGGGATGGTCAGGGAGGGGGGGGGGTTCCCTCCTCTTACCGGACGTAGAGGGAGCGTTTCTGGCTGGTCTTGAGCGACCCAGAGCCGGTGCTGAGGCTGCTGTTCATCATCTGCTCTCGAAGGTCGTGGATCTTCGCCTCGAAGTGGCTGTACTCTGGCGGGGTGACGGGGACACGCGCGGAGATGCCGCGTAGCAGCGAGGCGGGCAGAGGTGCGTACAGGTGCGTGCAGGTGCGTACAGGTGCGTACAGGTGCGTGCAGAGATGCGTACAGGTGCGCGCAGAGGTGCGTAGAGACCCAGCGAGGTGCAGAGAGATACAAAGAGAGATAGAGAGACACACAGAGATACGGCATTTCCACTTTAAAACTGTTTTTGTGTCACCAGATGAGTGGTACCGCAAGTGCTGCTGCTACTGCTGCTGATACTACTACTGGTAGTACTACTACCGATAATACTACCGGTAGTACTACTACTGATACTACTACCGGTAGTACTACTGGTAGTACTACTACCGATAATACTAATGGTAGTACTACTAACGGTAGTACTACTACTAATAATAATAATACTGGTAGTACTACTATCGGTAGTACTACTACTAATACTGCTACTGGTAGTACTACTACCGGTAGCACTACTACTGATACTACTACTGGTAGTACTACTACTGATACTACTGGTAGTACAGCCAGTGCTACTAGTGCTACGACTGGTACTGATACTGGTACTGCTGCTACTACTACTGCTGACACTACTGCTGCTACTACTACTGCTGCTACTACTGATACTACTGCTGCTACTACTGCTACTACTACTGCAGCTGCTACTACTACTACTGTTACTACTACTACCAGTGCTGCTGCTACTACTACTGATACTACAACTACTGCTACTACTACTGCTGCTACTACTGCTGCTACTACTACTGACACTACAACTACTGCTACTACTACTGCTGCTACTACTGCTGCTACTACTGCTACTGATACTACTACTACTGCTACTACTACTGCTACTACTACTGATACTACTACTACTGCTACTAATACCGATACTACTACTGCTCCCAGTGCTGCTGCTCACCCTCTGGCTTGTACTGCGCGATGATGGTCACCACCTGCCCAGCGCCCTTCAGCGCTGCAGCCGCCTGCTCATGGGTAGCACCCCGCAGGTCAACCCCATTCACCTGGGGGGGGGGCGGGGTGGAGAGGGAGAGGGGGATAGCAGGGATGGGAGGGATGGGAGGGAGCGGGAATGGAAGAGATGGGAAGGATGAGAGGGAGGGGGGAGGAGTAGGGATAGAAGGGAAGGGAGGGAGAGATGGGAGGGAGGCAGGGAGGGGGTGGAAGAGGAGAGACAGCAGAGGGATGGGGGGGATGGGAGGGACTTAAGGGAGGGAGTGAAGGAGGAAGAGAGGGAGGGAGGGGAGGGAGGGGAGGGAGGGAGGGAGGGAAGGAGGGAGGGAACGAGGGATGGGAGGGAGGGATGGGAGGGAGGGAGGGGAGGGAGGGAGGGAGGGAGGGAGGGATGGGAGGGATGGGAGGGAGGGGAGGGAGGGAGGGAGGGAGCGAGGGAGGGAGGGGAGGGAGAGAGGGAGGGAGAGAGGGAGGGAGGGAGAGAGGGAGGGAGGGGAGGGAGGGAGGGATGGGAGGGAGGGAGGGAGAGAGGGAGGGAGGGGAGAGAGGGAGGGGGAGAGGGAGGGAGGGATGGGAGAGAGGGAGGGAGGGAGGGATGGGAGGGAGGGATGGGAGGGAGGGAGAGAGGGAGGGAGGGAGAGAGCGAGGGAGGGAGGGAGGGATGGAGGGAGGGATGGAGGGAGGGAGGGAGTGCAAGTCAAGGCACCAGTTGTGGTTGAGGCTTCAAACAGCACTGGAAATGTTCAGTGAGGAACAGAAAAGACAAAGATCCCCGTATAGCCTTAACAGACTGTAGGGGCAAGTGCTCTTAGCGAGCACCTATGAAGACCGGCACGGCACAGGAGGGGGTGGGTGGCCAGCACCACGCCCGGCCGCCTTTGTCTCCCCAGTGGCAATGTTTAAACACACACTTACATGCACAGACACACACGTACACACTCACATACATACATACAGACACACACGTACAGACACACACGTACACTCACATACATGCAGACACACACGTACACGCTCACATACATACACACACGTACAGACACACATGTACAGACACACACACGTACACGCTCACATACATACAGACACACACGTACAGACACACACGTACACGCTCACATACATACAGACACACACGTACAGACACACACGTACACTCACATACATACAGACACACACGTACACACTCACATACATACACACACGTACAGACACACACATACATACACACACGTACAGACACACACGTACACACTCACATACAGACACACACGTACACACTCACATACAGACACACACGTACACACTCACACGTACAGACACACACGTACACTCACATACATACAGACACACACGTACACTCACATACATACAGACACACACGTACACACTCACATACATACAGTCACACACGTACACACTCACATACATACAGACACACACGTACAGACACACACGTACACACTCACATACAGACACACACGTACACACTCACGTACAGACACACACTCACGTACAGACACACAAGTACACTCACATACATACAGACACACGTACACCCACACACGTACACTCACGCACGTACACACATGCACGTACACACACGCACGTACACACACACACATACGCACACACACAGACACACACATACACCCACACACGTACACACGAGTGTCCCCGTGCTCACCGACACAATCTGGTCCCCGCGCCGCAGCTCCCCGCTCAAGTCGGCGGGGCCCCCCGCCAGGATGAAGGAGATGAAGATCCCCTCGCCGTCCTCGCCCCCCACGATGTTGAAGCCCAGCCCCGTGGAGCCCTTGTGCAGCACCACCTTGCGCAGGTCCCTGGCGACGTGGACACAACAAGCCCCACCGCCCCCCCCAGTGAGCCTGTTGAGCACTGGACCATAGACTCAACACTGCACCATAAACTCAACACTGCACCAGAGACTCAACACTGCACCATAGACTCAACACTGCCCATAGACTCAACACTGCACCATAGACTCAAAACTGCCCATAGACTCAACACTGCACCGTAGATTCAACATTGCACCATAGACTCAACACTGCACCACAGACTCAACACTGCACCATAGACTCAACACTGCACCACAGACTCAACACTGCACCATAGACTCAACACTGCACCAGAGATTCAACACTGCACCATAGACTCAACACTGCACCGTAGACTCAACACTGCACCGTAGACTCAACACTGCACCATAGACTCAACACTGCATCATAGACTCAACACTGCCCATAGACTCAACACTGCACCGTAGACTCAACACTGCACCGTAGACTCAGCACTGCACCATAGACTCAGCACTGCCCATAGACGCAGCACTGTGCAGCACGATCTAGCAAAGGACCCTGGCACATGCAGACAAAGATCCCCTGTGTACCCTTAACAGACCGTTGGGGACAAGTGCTCTTAGCGAGCACCTATTATATAGCAAGCATGGCTCACAAGGGGGTGGGTGGCCAACACCACGCCCGGCCGCCTTTGTCTCCTTAATGGCGATGTTTACACCCTGCACCAGGTACTCATTCATTTTGAGTCAACCTAGGGGAGGAAGCACAGGACCGGTTCACATAATCATCACTCGTGAGTGAGAATCGAACTCGCGGCTTCGCACTAACCACTGCCACCACCACCACCACCACCAACGCCATCACCACTACCAATGCCACCACTACCAACGCCGCCGCCGCCACCGCCGCCACCACCACCACCACCAACGCCATCACCACTACCAATGCCACCACTACCAACGCCACCACCACCACCACCAACGCTGCCGCCGCCACCACCACCAATGCCGCCGCCACCACCACCAACGCCGCCACCACTGCCACCACCACCACCAACGCCACCACCACCACTACCAACGCCGCCACCACCGCCACCACCAGCGCCACCACCACCACCACCAGCGCCGCCACCACCAACGCCGCCACCACGTGGAGGCCGTACCTCGGCATGTCGTCGTCGCACGCCATCTGCTTGGGCACGGGCGAGTAGCGAGAGGGCGACGCAGGGAGATACCCGCTGGGACCCATCACTGTGTTGTCCATCAGGGACTGGTAGGCTGTGGAGGGGGACACCGAGGGAGGAGGGGGGAGGAGGAGGGGGAGGAGCAGCAGCAGGGTGAGCGTGTGGTCAGCTGGTTCCGAACGTCGCTCGCCATGGCGCGGTCGGCTACGTACGGTGCGAAAGAAGTTCAACGTACACACGCACGTGGAGAGGCACAGACTCGCGTAGAGACACCGAGTCAACTCTGCCCCCATACTCAGCATACACAGACACCCACAGACTCACGCAGAGACCCACAGACTCACGCAGAGACCCACAGACTCACGCAGACACCCACAGACTCACCCAGACATTCACAGACTCAGAGATCCACAGACTCACACAGAGACCCACAGACTCACACAGAGACCCACAGACTCACACAGAGACTCACAGACTCACACAGAGACCCACAGACACCCACAGACTCGCCCAGAGACCCACAGACTCACACAGACACCCACAGACTCACCCAGAGACCCACAGACTCACACAGACCCACAGACTCACACAGAGACTCACAGACTCACACAGACACCCCCAGACTCACACAGAGACCCACAGACTCACACAAAGACCCACAGACTCACACACAGAGACCCCACAGACTCACGCAGAGACCCACAAACCCACACACAGAGACCCACAGACTCACACAGAGACCCATAGACTCACACAGAGATCCACAGACTCACCCAGAGACCCACAGACTCACACAGAGACCCACAGACACCCACAGACTCGCCCAGAGACCCACAGACTCACACAGACACCCTCAGACTCACACAGAGACCCACAGACTCACACAGACACCCACAGACTCACACAGAGACCCACAGAGTTACAGCTAGCCACAGACTCACAGAAATCCACAGACTCACAGAGACACCCCAGACTCACACAGAGACCCACAGACTCACACAGACACCCCCAGACTCACACAGAGACCCACAGAGTTACAGCTAGCCACAGACTCACAGAAATCCACAGACTCACACAGACACCCCCAGACTCACACAGAGACCCACAGACATCCACAGACTCACACAGACACCCCCAGACTCACACAGACATCCACAGACTCACCCAGACACCCACAGACTCACACAGACCCACAGAGTTACAGCTAGCCACAGACTCACAGAGATCCAGACTCACACAGAGACTCATCGACTCACATAGAGACCCACAGACCACCCCAGAGACTCGCAGAGGCCTACAGATTCACACAGACTTACAGAGACCCACAGAGACCCCCAGACTCACACAGACACCCACAAACTTACACAGAGACCCCCAGACTCACACAGAGTTCCGCAGACTCTCACAGAGACCCATAGACAGCCACAGACTCACACAGACACCCACAGACTCACACAGAGACCCACAGATTCACACAGAGACCCACAGACTCACACAGAGACCCACAGACTCACAGAGACCCCAGACTCACACAGAGACCCCCAGACTCACACAGAGACCCCCAGACTCACACAGAGACCCACAGGCTCACACAGAGATCCACAGACTCACACAGAGACCTACAGACTCACACAGAGACCCATAGACTCACACAGAGACCTACAGACTCACACAGAGACCCATAGACTCACACAGAGACCCACAAACTCACACAGCGACCCACACACTCACACAGAGACCCACAGAGACCCACAGATTCACACAGAGATCCAGACACCCACAGACTCACACAGAGACCCACAGACTCACACAGAGACCCATAGACTCACACAGAGACCCAAAGATACCCACAGACTCACACAGAGACCCACAAACTCACACAGCGACCCACAGACTCGCACAGAGACCCAAAGACACCCACACCCACCTCCTTCATCTCCCATGCCGCCCAATCCTCCCGCTCCCCCCGTGACGTCAGGCGGGGCGAAGGCGTCCGCCATGTAGACGCTGCTCGTGGGCTTAGCCAGCTTGAGGTAGACAACGTCCGCCGTGCTCTTCAGGGCCTGCACAGCGTCCTCGTGCGTCACCTCCTCCAGGCACATCATGTTCACCTGCACGCACCGCACGCACGTACGCACACAGACACACACACACCCACGCACGCACCGCACGCACACACACACGCACCGCACACGGTATACACACACGCACCCAACACACACACACGCGCAAAGTACACACACACACACACGCACCGCACACACACGCAGAGTACACACACACACACACACCGCACACACACGGTGCACACACAAATGCATCGAACACACACGCACACAGTGCACACACACGGTACACACACACACACGCACCGCACGCACACACACACACACACGCATGCACCGCACGCACACGCACGCACACACACGCACACGGTACACACACATACACACACGGTACACACACACACGCACCGAACACACACACGCACACGGTACACACACGCACATGGTACACACACATACACACACGGTACACACACACACGCACCGAACACACACACACGCACACGGTACACACACACGCACGGTACACATGCACGGTACACACACACGGTACACACACACACACACGGTACACACACGGGTACACGCAGTGAGACACACGGTTACACCGGTACAGACAGTAAGATAAAAGTATATATATATACACACACACAGTGAGGCACACAGTGAGACACACACACAGTGAGACACACACACAGTGAGACACACAGTGAGAGACACAGTGAGAAACACGGGTACACACACATGCACACACAGGTACACACACACGCACGGGTACACACATACACACAGGTACACACACACGCACGGGTACACACACACACTCGGAAACACACACAAGCACACACACACACTCGCACACACACGTGCACACACATGCACAAAGACAGAGATACACGCAAAATACAAAGAACCCACATATAGGCTTAACAGATTGTAGGGGCAAGTGCTGTTAGCGAGCACCTATGAAGGCCAGAACGGTACACGAGGGGGTGGGTGGCCAGCACCACGCCCGACCGCCTTTGTCTCCCCAGTGGCGATGTTCGCTACACACCACGCCAGGTACTCATTTGAGGCCGAGTCGACCTAGGGGAGGCCCAGCACCGGTTCAGATAATCGTCACTGGTGTTGGCCGTGAGCGGGAATCGAACCCGGGTCGCCAGGTTCATAGAGCAGTGCGCTAACCGCTACACCACCGCTCCCCACACACACACAGACACACGTGGTTTTACACAGACACACACACACACGGGTTTACACAGACACACACACGCGGGTTTACACAGACACACACACACGGGTTTACACAGACACACACACGGGTTTACACAGACACACACACACACGGGATTACACAGACACACACACGGGTTTACACAGACACACACACGGGTTTACACAGACACACACACACACGGGTTTACACAGACACACACACACACGGGTTTACATAGACACACGGGTTTACACAGACACACGGGTTTACACAGACACACACACACGTGGGTTTACACAGACACACACACACACACACACGCGGTTTACACAGACACACACACGGGTTTACACAGACACACACACACACACACGGGTTTACACAGACACACACACGCGGGTTTACACAGACACACACACGTGGGTTTACACAGACACACACACACACGGGTTTACACAGACAAACAGACACGGGTTTACACAGACACACATACACACGGGTTTACACAGACACACACAGACACGGGTTTACACAGACAAACAGACACGGGTTTACACAGACACACACACACACGGGTTTACACAGACACACACGCGGGTTTACACAGACAAACAGACACGGGTTTACACAGACACACACACACGGGTTTACACAGACACACACACACGGGTTTACACAGACACACGGGTTTACACAGACACACGGGTTTACACAGACACACACACACACGGGTTTACACAGACACACACACACGCGGTTTACACAGACACACACATACACGGGTTTACACAGACACACACACACACACACGGATTTACACAGACACACACACACGTGGGTTTACACAGACACACACACGGGTACACAGACGCACACGTGCACACACACGCACGAAGATGACAACCCCCCCCCCAACCCCCGGTAGCGCGCCAGGCTAGGTGCACGCCGGCTACCGCGAGGAGTCGGTCGCCGATCTGCAGGCGGCCGTCCCTCTGCGCGGCTCCCCCCTCAATGATCTTGGTGATGTAGATGCCGTTGTCTCCGGGGATGTGCTGGTTGCCGATGCCGCCCGCGATGCTGAAGCCCAGGCCTGAGGAGCGGCGGCGACAGACAGACACGGACAGACACACAGACACACACAGACACACACATACAGTCAGATACACAGACAGACACACAGAGACACACAGACACACAAAGACACACACAGACACACACAGACAGTCAGATACACAGACAGACACACAGACACAGACACACAGAGAGAGACACAGACACAGACAGACACACAGACACAGACAGACACAGACACACAGACAGACACACACACAGACACACAGACAGACACACAGATAGACACACAGACAGACACACACACAGACAGACACACACAGACAGACACACACACAGACAGACACAGACGGACACACAGACAGATATACACACACAGACAGACACACACACAGACAGACACAGACGGACACACAGATAGATATACACACACACAGACACACACGTAGACAGACACACACGAACGTACACGTATAGATCGCCATTGCAAAAAACGTCGCGGCCGTCGTGAACTAGGAGCGAGGGGTTTGCGTCGTGAGCTATGAGCGAGGGTTTGTGTCGTGAACTAGGAGCGAGGGGTTTGTGTCGTGAACTATGAGTGAGGGGATTGTGTCGTGAACTACGAGCGAGGGTTTGTGTCGTGAACTAGGAGCGAGGGGTTTGTGTCGTGAGCTATGAGTGAGGGTTTGTGTCGTGAACTAGAAGCGAGGGGTTTGTGTCGTGAACTATGAGCGAGGGTTTGTGTCGTGAACTAGGAGCGAGGGTTTGTGTCGTGAACTATGAGCGAGGGTTTGCGTCGTGAACTAGGAGCGAGGGGTTTGTGTCGTGAGCTATGAGCGAGGGTTTGCGTCGTGAACTATGAGCGAGGGTTTGTGTCGTGAACTAGGAGCGAGGGGTTTGCGTCGTGAACTAGGAGCGAGGGTTTGTGTCGTGAACTATGAGCGAGGGGTTTGTGTCGTGAACTAGGAGCGAGGGGTTTGTGTCGTGAACTAGGAGCGAGGGGTTTGCATCGTGAACTATGAGCGAGGGTTTGCGTCGTGGACTAGGAGCGAGGGGTTTGTGTCGTGAACTATGAGCGAGGGTTTGTGTCGTGAACTACGAGCGAGGGTTTGTGTCGTGAACTAGGAGCGAGGGGTTTGTGTCGTGGACTAGGAGCGAGGGGTTTGTGTCGTGAACTAGGAGCGAGGGGTTTGCATCGTGAACTATGAGCGAGGGTTTGCGTCGTGGACTAGGAGCGAGGGGTTTGTGTCGTGAACTATGAGCGAGGGGTTTGTGTCGTGAACTAGGAGCGAGGGGTTTGCATCGTGAACTATGAGCGAGGGTTTGTGTCGTGAACTAGGAGCGAGGGGTTTGTGTCGTGAACTAGGAGCGAGGGGTTTGCGTCGTGAACTCTGAGCGAGGGGTTTGCGTCGTGAACTATGAGCGAGGGGTTTGCGTCGTGAACTAGGAGCGAGGGGTTTGCGTCGTGAACTCTGAGCGAGGGGTTTGTGTCGTGAACTATGAGCGAGGGTTTGTGTCGTGAACTAGGAGCGAGGGGTTTGTGTCGTGAACTAGGAGCGAGGGTTTGCGTCATGAACTATGAGCGAGGGGTTTGTGTCGTGAACTAGGAGCGAGGGGTTTGTGTCGTGAACTATGAGCGAGGGGTTTGTGTCGTGAACTACGAGAGAGGGGTTTGTGTCGTGAACTATGAGCGAGGGGTTTGCGTCGTGAACTAGGAGCGAGGGGTTTGCGTCGTGAACTCTGAGCGAGGGGTTTGTGTCGTGAACTATGAGCGAGGGTTTGTGTCGTGAACTAGGAGCGAGGGGTTTGTGTCGTGAACTAGGAGCGAGGGTTTGCGTCATGAACTATGAGCGAGGGGTTTGTGTCGTGAACTAGGAGCGAGGGGTTTGTGTCGTGAACTATGAGCGAGGGTTTGCGTCGTGAACTATGAGCGAGGGGTTTGTGTCGTGAACTAGGAGCGAGGGGTTTGTGTCGTGAACTACGAGCGAGGGGTTTGTGTCGTGAACTATGAGCGAGGGGTTTGTGTCGTGAACTAGGAGCGAGGGGTTTGTGTCGTGGACTAGGAGCGAGGGGTTTGTGTCGTGAACTATGAGCGAGGGTTTGCGTCGTGAACTAGGAGCGAGGGGTTTGTGTCGTGAACTATGAGCGAGGGTTTGCGTCGTGTACTAGGAGCGAGGGGTTTGTGTCGTGAACTAGGAGCGAGGGGTTTGTGTCGTGAACTATGAGCGAGGGGTTTGTGTCGTGAACTATGAGCGAGGGTTTGCGTCGTGAACTACGAGCGAGGGGTTTGTGTCGTGAACTAGGAGCGAGGGGTTTACATCATGAACTAGGAGCGAGGGTTTGTGTCGTGAACTAGGAGCGAGGGGTTTGCATCGTGAACTACGAGCGAGGGGTTTGTGTCGTGAACTATGAGCGAGGGTTTGCGTCGTGAACTAGGAGCGAGAGTTTGCGTCGTGAACTAGGAGCGAGGGTTTGTGTCGTGAACTAGGAGCGAGGGGTTTGTGTCGTGAACTATGAGCGAGGGTTTGCGTCGTGAACTAGGAGCGAGAGTTTGCGTCGTGAACTAGGAGCGAGGGTTTGTGTCGTGAACTAGGAGCGAGGGGTTTGTGTCGTGAACTATGAGCGAGGGTTTGCGTCGTGAACTAGGAGCGAGAGTTTGCGTCGTGAACTAGGAGCGAGGGGTTTGTGTCGTGAACTAGGAGCGAGGGGTTTGTGTCGTGAACTACGAGCGAGGGGTTTGTGTCGTGAACTAGGAGCGAGGGTTTGCGTCGTGAACTATGAGCGAGGGGTTTGTGTCGTGAACTAGGAGCGAGGGGTTTGTGTCGTGAACTAGGAGCGAGGGGTTTGTGTCGTGAACTAGGAGCGAGGGGTTTGCATCGTGAACTATGAGCGAGGGTTTGTGTCGTGAACTATGAGCGAGGGGTTTGTGTCGTGAACTAGGAGCGAGGGGTTTGTGTCGTGAACTAGGAGCGAGGGTTTGCGTCGTGAACTACGAGCGAGGGGTTTGTGTCGTGAACTAGGAGCGAGGGGTTTGTGTCGTGAACTATGAGCGAGGGTTTGCGTCGTGAACTATGAGGGAGGGGATTGTGTCGTGAACTAGGAGCGAGGGGTTTGAGTCGTGAACTATGAGCGAGGGGTTTGTGTCGTGAACTATTAGCGAGGGGTTTGTGTCGTGAACTAGGAGCGAGGGGTTTGAGTCGTGAACTAGGAGCGAGGGGTTTGTGTCGTGAACTATGAGCGAGGGTTTGCGTCGTGAACTAGGAGCGAGGGTTTGTGTCGTGAACTACGAGCGAGGGTTTGTGTCGTGAACTCTGAGCGAGGGGTTTGTGTCGTGAACTAGGAGCGAGGGGTTTGTGTCGTGAACTATGAGCGAGGGTTTGCGTCGTGAACTAGGAGCGAGGGGTTTACATCATGAACTAGGAGCGAGGGTTTGTGTCGTGAACTAGGAGCGAGGGGTTTGCATCGTGAACTACGAGCGAGGGGTTTGTGTCGTGAACTATGAGCGTGGGTTTGCGTCGTGAACTAGGAGCGAGAGTTTGCGTCGTGAACTAGGAGCGAGGGTTTGTGTCGTGAACTAGGAGCGAGGGGTTTGTGTCGTGAACTATGAGCGAGGGTTTGCGTCGTGAACTAGGAGCGAGAGTTTGCGTCGTGAACTAGGAGCGAGGGTTTGTGTCGTGAACTAGGAGCGAGGGGTTTGTGTCGTGAACTATGAGCGAGGGTTTGCGTCGTGAACTAGGAGCGAGAGTTTGCGTCGTGAACTAGGAGCGAGGGGTTTGTGTCGTGAACTAGGAGCGAGGGGTTTGTGTCGTGAACTACGAGCGAGGGGTTTGTGTCGTGAACTAGGAGCGAGGGTTTGCGTCGTGAACTACGAGCGAGGGGTTTGTGTCGTGAACTATGAGCGAGGGGTTTGTGTCGTGAACTAGGAGCGAGGGGTTTGTGTCGTGAACTAGGAGCGAGGGGTTTGCATCGTGAACTATGAGCGAGGGTTTGTGTCGTGAACTATGAGCGAGGGGTTTGTGTCGTGAACTAGGAGCGAGGGGTTTGTGTCGTGAACTAGGAGCGCGGGTTTGCGTCGTGAACTACGAGCGAGGGGTTTGTGTCGTGAACTAGGAGCGAGGGGTTTGTGTCGTGAACTATGAGCGAGGGTTTGCGTCGTGAACTATGAGTGAGGGGATTGTGTCGTGAACTAGGAGCGAGGGGTTTGTGTCGTGAACTATGAGCGAGGGGTTTGTGTCGTGAACTATGAGCGAGGGGTTTGTGTCGTGAACTAGGAGCGAGGGGTTTGAGTCGTGAACTAGAAGCGAGGGGTTTGTGTCGTGAACTATGAGCGAGGGTTTGCGTCGTGAACTAGGAGCGAGGGTTTGTGTCCTGAACTACGAGCGAGGGTTTGTGTCGTGAACTCTGAGCGAGGGGTTTGTGTCGTGAACTAGGAGCGAGGGGTTTGTGTCGTGAACTATGAGCGAGGGTTTGCGTCGTGAACTAGGAGCGAGGGGTTTGCGTCGTGAACTAGGAGCGAGGGGTTTGTGTCGTGAACTATGAGCGAGGGGTTTGTGTCGTGAACTAGGAGCGAGGGGTTTGTGTCGTGAACTAGGAGCGAGGGTTTGCGTCGTGAACTACGAGCGAGGGGTTTGTGTCGTGAACTAGGAGCGAGGGTTTGCGTCGTGAACTATGAGCGAGGGGTTAGTGTCGTGAACTAGGAGCGAGGGGTTTGTGTCGTGAACAGGGAGCGAGGGGTTTGCGTCGTGAACTATGAGCGAGGGGTTTGTGTCGTGAACTATGAGCGAGGGGTTTGTGTCGTGAACTAGGAGCGAGGGGTTTGTGTCGTGAACTACGAGCGAGGGGTTTGTGTCGTGAACTAGGAGCGAGGGTTTGCGTCGTGAACTAGGAGCGAGGGTTTGCGTCGTGAACTAGGAGCGAGGGGTTTGTGTCATGAACTAGGAGATAGGAGTTTGTGTCTTGAACTATGAGCGAGGGTTTGTGTCGTGAACTAGGAGCGAGGGGTTTGTGTCGTGAACTAGG